ATAGCAAATTTTATGCTGCTTTTATGTGAAATACGGACTACTTCGATTATATTTAGGTAATGATATACTTTAACCTCGGAAAAAATATTGAAACTAACAAACATATATCTTTTCACATTCAAGGTTATTGGAAAGTCGTGTCGAAATGTCACGAAAAAGGAGTAATACGACATAGCGCCCCGGGGCACGACATCCGGGAACAGATTCCCGCGAGTGAAATCATGCACCAGTGGGTGACGAATTATACTAATGCCGCGGTCAGTCAGGACTGAGAGATCATAGTTTTGAACATGTATTAAAGGAACACGTGTGCACGTCTAACTAATACATCCGTGTTTGAGTCTGTGTAGTTTTTAATAGACGGGTACACGGGTACTGAAATACACACGTACACGAGTATTGAAATACACGGTACACGGGCTCTTAAATAACTTGTAGCAGCCATTCTATGTCAAAACGCACAGGGAATTGTGGACACAGTCACCGATCTTTTTCAAATTTACAGTATTTGTACCGCTTTCCCTGATTTAGTACAATTTTTAAAAACTTTAACATTAAATATTTCGGAAATAGTTCGAGATTGGAAGCTAGAATTTTACACAGTTCGTTTTTTGTGTCGACGTCGTCGGGCGTTGGTGGACAGGTACGGCGCAAAGTGGGCCATTACCATTAAGTAGGTGGAATTAATCACAAAATTTTCATGTCATAAACTAAGTTAAAATTAGAATTATTTGTAAGCTTATACTCGCTTGAAAAACAGTGAACAGGCTACGGACCTCAACGACGTTACATATGATTGCATTTGTTTTATAAACAGTTAAGCCGCGTACCCATCTGAGCATGCGCCGAAGAAGCGACCGTGCGCTGAAGTGGACGGCGAAGCGAACACAAACACCATTCCACTGATGCCAGAATCGTGGGATTTCCGCGCGAGCGCATACCCTCCCCATGCCTCCCGTGGGTATTCTACACAAGCATATTCTATCTTGTCCGTGTGAGCTCTGCCTCCACTACGTTCTACTCGGCGACTCAACAACACAAGCGTTTTCTACCTCTGTCCGTGTGCGCTCTGCTTCGGATGTTCTCGGCAAAAGTCCTACGTTACGCGTTTAGGACGCGACGGCCGAGTGGCCCAAGCCAGGGCAAAAATCCCAAATCGAGTTACGGCTCGGCTGGAGCCGTATCGATACCGGTTGGCATCATCGTTCCACCCTAAGAAACGCTGGCGACGGGCCTCGGCGAGGCGAGATGTTATTATAAGATAACTCTACGCGTCGAGGCTTCGCGTGCCAGAGCCTCGTGTCTCCGCTGTCTCCTCATAAAACTGTCATGTCTGCCCGCTTGACAAGCCGGCCGAGCCGGTGAATCGAAAGCTTCCGATACAGCTCGAGCTGCTCGGCTCGATTACCCATCACTAGTTGTATCTCGTTGAATTCGCCTAAAAAAATCCGAGGAGTCACAGACAAAGCGACGAGACGCGACGAGGCAAGACGAAGATAAGACAAGAAGGATACATAGCTTGAACAATCAATATATACAAACGCGAGAGGGGCACCGTTGAGAACGGTGACGAGGGGGAACAAAACGCAAACCGCGAGCTACCTATTTACGCAATACAGGTGACTGCGTTATCGACGCTGATCGCCGCAGCAGGGTCCAATAATGTTATAGTACGAGCCAGGAATGCAAAAACCCTGAATTACTATTGGTTTTACGTTACAATAGATATAATTATCGATACCGCAAACTTTACTCTTCAATATGAAATTTAACAGTAAAAATGCTTACTTCTCTCAGGCAACAAGATCCTTATTATACAGTCCTGGTTATAAAAAATTACTTACTTTTTATCAATACAGATTGCGATATTAAGTGTGTTCTATAAAAAAATTGTTTTCTCATATATATTTAGTCTTTTTTCTGACTTCTGGACACACGTAATCGGGTCTCCCATCGAGTTTCACAGCCCAGTGTACAGTGGAGCAAAACGAGAAAATCTTGGACATGTCCAATTTTCTTCTGAACGACTAATCAAATCTTTTTCCAATTTGTTTTTAAATCGTGTGGTTTTGAATGAGGAATTCAACTATGTAAATAATTTATTTAAAAAATATATTCTAAAATTTGATATTTTTTTCAGTAATTTTTCATGAAATAATTGAACCTAAGGTTCCTTATGGCGTCAAATATGTCGTAGATCTAAAAAGAGCTGTTATTGCATAGACGAGGTGCATCTAATGGTGCATCTAAAGGGTATCATTTCTGAAAATCAAAAGGCTGATACATAAAGTAAAACTTCGTCTGAATCATTCCATACAATCTTTACAATAATGAAATATAAACTCTCAAAAATTAACAATTTTCTCGAAAATTACCTTTATAAAAGAATTTCTATGTCCGCAACTAATAAAGATAAGAATATGATGTTTTCTTCAGTTTAGTTGTAAAGGATCGTTCTTTTTAAATCACTCTTTGTTCTATACGTAAAATTATTTTACCAATGCAAGAGTATTAAAAATATATTTTTGCAAATTTCATCTCCAATTCAAGTTTGAAAAAGCTGAAAAAGTATATATCCGTATTCTGTTATCTTTTCTTTTTAAAATCGCGCCGCCCCAACCACGGGAAAATACTAACCCAAACCGAACTCAAATCTCATTTTAATTTAATCAGAAATGAAGTCGGAGTAGGTTTGGTTTAGATTTCTCCTGGAGTGGGGGTACAGGGGGGGCGGCCTTCGCCTTTCCCCCACCCACGCAATCACTTAAAGAAGCAGATATGCTAATAATCTAATGTTTATAGTGAGTAGAATTTAAATTGTCAAGTTAAACACACACCTTTGTATTGCGAAATTTATTTGTTAATAAATTCTTAAAACGAGAGACATCTGAAATTTTCTCAAGATCACTACGGAGGATGACCTTGACAACATATTCCAAGGTCATGGTCATTGGAGCCTTTCAATACTTAAACTAACTGCTACACTTTGCAAACATTTTTTGTTATGTTACGCTGCTCTTGACCAGCGTAAAGCGACCGCTCCAAATTCAAGCGGGGAGCGTATTGCGGATAGAACCAGACCACCCTCTGCCCCGCAAAACATGGCTCGTCACACGCACTCGCAGGCAGACGAGCGCTCCTAGAGGAATCCCGAGAGATAGCAAACATTTGAATAGCGACTAACCGCGTCTTTTTCCGCGCCGAGCATCTACGCATAGTTACAGGGCCGTGGCGAGCGTTAGGCGACACCCGTCTCCGGAACCGTTTTCCCCTCCCTGACCAGGAGCCGCCATTAGATATTGGAAATCGGCCGAATATTGCGATAAGGGTCTCCTGCCCTACGAGAGGACCACACCGCAAAACAACGATGGAGGAACCGACCTCGTGAGGTGGGCGGTCGACTGTGGAGTCGGCAAACATCTAAACCAGCGGAGTCGGACCAGATTGGCAGTGACCGGCGCCTCCCTCTGCACAGGACTCCCAGCGGAGGTGGCGGCGGGAGAGACCCATCATCGGGGAGTACAGGCGCGTCCAGGGGACCGAATGCTGTTTTTTCTTTTTTTTTTTTTTGACGGGGGAAAACCTTGACGAAAGTGCACCGCCTCCGCTGGGGACGGAGACGGCCAATGCGGGGTTTCACCCGCTAAAAACCCGTACTCCAACCCGGCTCCAGGGAAGTTGGAAATATTGGCGGAGAAAACCTCAGGGCCCGAGGAGTCTCCGGATCAGTGGTGCACCTGAAGACTGGTGGATACTCTAGGGGTGATTCGCGGCGGGGGCACGGGGAACGGAACGGTAGAGTAACGGGGCAAGGAGGGTACCGCCGAACGTTACGGTCGATTACCAAAAGCCGGTAGATCATTTGGTTGCGAGCCTGTATCGTGCGTGCATTTAACTTGTATCAATCTTGAGCGACTACCGTGTGGCGACGAAACAAACACCTGTTAGCGGTAAGCCATCCACTTTCATCTCGGATGATTCTGTAATTGATTGCGTTAGAGTCGAATTAAAAGAACATCGGACAGCCTCCCACCTTCTGTGAGGGGCTGCGAATTCGCGGGCATGGCCGCGAATAGCGGAAGGGCGTATTTCCTCGGGTTTCCTTAAATAGTAGCGTACCGCGCATATCATCTAGCGGAGGCGCCGTAACCGAATCATTTGTTACGTAGTTTGTATTACGACGAGTACCGAATTTCGGACGAATATTCTTAGCGAATTGTTAACGTTTACCACCTGCTGTAGCGCTGCCCTCGAGGGTAGGCGCGTGGCGTTAATAAACGTCTGAATTAACGCAAAACGATCTCCGCTCATTCGCGAATCGCCTTCTACCGTGAGAAGACTAGACACATCCTACTTGCGAACCTCGACCATTGTGCGTGCTCGCCGGCAACCGCCACATTATTATGGTAGCCTCCACTCTAAGTAAATTTCGGAGGTCCTATCTGAAGTCCTACCCGATACCGATACTTGGGGAGTGCCTGGCGTCACACTCGTAGAGGCGTGAATAGTCGCGGGGTCGTGGGAGGAGCTTTGTTCGCGACTGACTGGGCCCCGAAAACCAAATTCCGCGTAACAGTTAATACTTTTTAATACAAAATTATATAATATAATTACTATTCTAAATTCTTACTCCATGGTATAACCAGTACCTACCATAAATGGAAAAATACTGTTGAACATAATTGTACACTGTTCATATATACTTTCTTACCGATGCAGTCAAATTTCCAACTTCAATTGTCAATTCTCACTGTATGGCGTCTCGCGGCTGCGCTTACAGAGCAAAGCTCTGCAATTTCACGCGACCATCAGTACGCCGACCCTCTCCTCTGAGAAGGAGCGACCCAATGCATAACGAGGTCGTAAACCGACGTCATCGCCTTCCAGATCCGCTCCATAGGACTCCCAGATTTAGACAAGTCCTATAATTAACAGTTCTGTAGTATTAATATTAACAAAATTTTCTTTATATGAAAAACGTTACCTTGTTTGGCTTTCAGGTTCTTATTCATTTGTTGATCCAAAACACAAAGTACGAACAGTGCAATATACGGCTGATGAAACTGGATTCCATGCTTCTTTAATAAATTACGAGGACACAATTGCCCAACCTGTTGATTCAGAAGCTGTGCGACTCGCCAAGGAGAAGCATTTTCTGCTTTATCATAAGATCGCCGAAGCGAATGCTCACGGTGTTACAGTAAATCTCCCTCGGGTAAATAATATTTTATTAGTTTTACTTTACTACATTAATACATTTTTGGAATGAATATCTTATATGAGATTGATTTTATCTAAATTATATTTTATATCTTTAATTAATAGTAGCACTAGAACTATTACAACATCTATTATGACTTCTCTGTAATTTCTTTAAAAAATTATTGGATTTTAGAACAGCGTATTTTTATGAAATTCTGCATGAATTGTAAAGGTCAGATGAATAGAAATTTTTTGTAGTTATTTTGTACTTTATGAAATTTCAAGACCATCACTGTTTTTTTTGAATAAAATAAAATATTTAATAAATTAAGTATTTAAAATAATGGTTGTAATTCACATTTCTGAACATTATTTATACTCGTCAATTTTTATGTACTGATTATTTAACAAAATTCTGTGTCTGATCTCTGTCGCTATCTTATCAGTATCGTTTGTAAAGCATTTATATTAATTAACGATATTCATTTGACAACGAATGAAGAATATACAAGGTGTGAATAAAAATGTGGAACACTTCCACTGAGTGGATTCTACACGCCAAACTAAGACAAAAATCAAGAATGACGGGATTGCGTTCAGAGCTTTGTTTCCGAGTTACATACTAAATGTTCAAAATACAGGCAAAATGCGCATGAAATAGGTTTGGCGCGATGAATTATACTACTCATAACAGTCGATTCCCAGTTGATACTTGATACCCGGTATTAATCGATGGCTTATCTAGAATGAAATACAATCACCGAGATGGTGCAGCCGGTGCGGACTGGCTATAGTACGGGATTAGCGACCCCAAGGTACCTGAGCTTGCATGAGTGAGTGCGGGTATGTGGGTGTACGAGGGCTGCGGCCAGTGCCGGCGGATATTCCCCGCACACCCTGCGCGGTAGGGGGCAAACCACCTAGCCTGAAGTTTGGCTCAGCACTCAATCGGATCGGCTGTCGCCCACTCGATAGGAGTGACGTAGAATATTTTGTACTTTGGCGGCAAGAGGTAGATTGAAAAATGTGAAAAGGAAAGGAGAGGGAGAGGGAGCGTTTCGTCCTGGGCCTGCTAGTGGACTCGTCGGTAAGGCTTTCTAGCAGACCCTGCCTTAGACGCGGGGATATACGATGCTCGATTAAGGACGTATATATACGAACGAGGAAGGCTTTAGGTAGTTGCGGGAAAGGTATCAACTCGGTAGACCTCTGATGGGCGAACCGGCGGAAAATACATATATAGTAATGGATATGTCAGCAAAAAACAAACAGGACGGGAACAAAATGGAGACGACATGGTAGAGACACTGGGAGTAGACAAGGATTAAATTAGCGGCCGAAAAACCGACGAGGCGGCAGTAGCGGAGCAGTAGGAAAGCAAGGCCCCGTAACGCGCAGTCGAAGCAGCAGCACGACTCGCGCAGGTGGAGACACCGAACAATGTCCCAGTAAGGGGATATCCCCAGGTCGCAATCCGCACTGTCGAGGGCGAGTTTCGTCGAGCGAGTCCGGAAGAAAGAGAGGGAGACCGGCGAAGAGGTCGCTCAAACTGGACGATTCCGAGGAGAAGGAGGAGCCGACAGCCAAGACGACTGCGCCCCTCTCCCGCCCTGTCACGGAGAGCAAATTAAAGGACGACCTCCGCCTCCAGTCCTCGGGCTACCTGCTAGCACAGATACAAGAAGGAATGAACGGGGTGGAGGACATGGCCACGTTCTCCAGACTGAAGGACTGTACGTGCAGGACCTACGGGTGGTCGCATGTACGACCAGAGCAACGACGCGGGAGTTGCACACAAGGCTCGCAGCAGCCGCTGATGCCCAAAGGCTGGGGCAGGAGAACCACCACTTCAGGGCCTAAGTGAGAGACCTGGTGGGCGAGATGGCCAAGCAGCGGCCATCTATGAGGGAGGAGACGGCCCGCAACAGAGCGACAAAGGGGACGGAGATAGCAGAGCCCCCTCGCCCCCGCCCCCCAAAGAAAGGACAACGGTAGCGGTTCCGGGAGGGCTCCTTGAGCAGTTTGGAGCTTTCCTGGAACAGAAGCTCCAAAAAGGGCACAGGGCTCCTTCACCGCTGCCCGTCCCAAAAGAGGCGGGTGAAATAAGAAGGGCGAAAGGGGAAAGGCTCCTGGTCGAGAGTGGTGGGGAGAAAGAGAGGAGGGTTGCCATAAAGACCGCTGCTTTGACTCACCCCACTGCCGCCTCGGACCAACAGAGGACGAGGAAGGTCCCTCCTCCAGCAAAGGGGGGGAAAGGGGGTAATGTGAGCGTGCGACGTCGTCCTCCCCAAAGAAGGTGGCAACCTGTGGCGGCCTGCCATGACGGCAGCGGTCACGCTGACCGTCCCCCCAGGCGTGGAAATAACGTTCGCCCAGTCGTTATGTCCATGACCAGGGAAAAGATCTCCCAGCCTGATGTCGGCATCACGGAGGTCCGCTCCAAGCAAGCAGTCAAGAGAGACCATTCGCCTCACCGAGGCACTGGATGAAACTGGAGTCTGTGTCACCCGACCCACGAAGCGCGCAGAACTGCACGTAAGTGGACTGGACGACTCGGTTCAGGAGAAGGAGGTAGAGACGGGAGAAATCCGATCCTCTCCCTCAGGAATAGGAACCCTCTGGGTACAGTGGCCGTTGACCGAAAGATCCTTCAAAAGGGAGGGTAATGGCGGTAATGGACTGTGGTGCGTGTCGAGGCACTGGCAGCCAGGCCTCCGCAGTGCTATCGCTGCCTGCAGTACGGGCACGTGAGGCAGCAGTGCACGAGCGCCATGGACAGGTTGCATCGCTACTGCAAATGCGACGGCCTGACTTAATGAGCGAGCCAGTGCTCAGCGGGACTAAAGTGTCCGCTGTGTACAGACCTTGGAATGCCGGCCAGGCACTGGCTTGGGATCAATGGCAGTAGCGGCCAAGGGGGCTGATACTGCTGCAAAGGAGGCAAAACCAGCTCGTCTAGAAGGATGCATGGAAGAGGCCATGGACACAGCCTTGAAATGACGGACCGAGTCTGCCAGACCAATCTGAACCATGCTCGCAGGGCACAGGACCTGCTAATGCAAACCCTGCGGGCGATAAGTAGGCGTACGTTTAGGTAGGGACACAAGGAGTTTTTGGATGGCAAGGGAAATGAGAGGGGAGTGTCCTGTAAGCCCCTACTTATTTAACCTGGTAACGGCTGATCTGGTGAGCGAGCTAGGGAGAGGAGGATTGAGACTGCGGGGGGTGGGGTGTGTGGAGGGTAAAATATACTCCTTGGCATGTACGGACGACATGGTGTTGCTGGCTGAGGATGAGGAGGGAATGAAAGCGATGGTAAGAAAGCTAGATGGATACCTAGAGAGATACAGATTGGAATTGAACGTCGCAAAATCCAAGGTAATGAAATTTAAGACCGTAGGTGGTAGGGGTGAAAAGTGTGGACTGAAGATTGAGGGGAGGAAAAATAGGGAGGGTTAAAGAAATAAAATATCCAGGGTATACGCTTCAAAGAAACGGCGGACAAAATAATGAAGCAGGGAGGGATAGGCAAGGGCAAATTTGGGAAGACTGGGAAAGGAGGCTTTGGCTGTTTGATAAACTAGTATGGGCAGTAAGGATCTACGGTGCAGAAGTATGGGGGTGGAAAGAAAGGAAACAAATGGAAACGATGCAAGAGGAGTGGTTGAAATGGACGCTAGGACTATAGACGCATTGGTATCTGATAAGAGAGGAATATTGAGAGGAAACGGGCGAAGAAGAGAGTGGAGCTTTGAACAGAACATAATGATGTGGGAGAGTAAATGGGAATGTGAGAACGTGTTGAGAGGAAATAAGGGATAGAGGAAAGTCGAAATGGGAGGACGAAAAAATAAAATTCTTTAAAAACAGAGGTATAGAGATGAAGGAAGTTGAGAGAAGGAAGGGTGGGTTGAGTTAGAATATTCACAATTGGAAGGAAGGGACAAGAAGTGGCGAGAGAAAGAGCATTACGGAAGGATATGGGAATCAAGGGACAACAGGTGGTTCAAAATGATAAGGGTGAGGGAAGTTTCAAAGTACCTGATGGAGGAATGGAGCGAGGATAGATGGGAAAGGGCAATACGATTCAGATTAGGAAACGAAATGGGAGAAGCGAGGTATTTGGAAACAGCAGAAAATAGTGTGCAGAATTTGCGGAGAGGAGGAAAAGGCTTGGGAGCATGTTTGGGATAGATGTGGAGGGAGAAGAAGGAATTGCGGATGCTGGTAGGAGGACATTGTGAAAATTCTGGGGGGCGAGAGATGGAGAACAGTGGCTAAGTGTTGCACGAGGTGTCTAGAGGGGTGCCGGGAGGGGTAGAAGGGAGATGAGAATGGAGGAGTGTTAAAAAGGATGAAAGCGAGGAAGGAGGGACAGAAGAGCGAAGGTGGGAGTCACAAGCGAAGGATATGTACTTTAGAATAAGACATAGAATAAATAGAGATGTAAAAGAGACTGACGTTAACTATAGAATATATGCGTCCGCTTAATTTATTTATTTTAATTAATTTAATTTATTAACGAAGTGCGCGCGCGCTCTCTCTCGCTCCTCCACTCTCAACTCCCCTCTCTTTCTCTCTATTATAAAAATTGAAATTGTACAAGGAGGGCAACAAGAGCCTTGTAATCCCTACGAGGACACAATAAATCACTACTACTACTACTAGTACTTATACGTAAATTTTCTCCAGCATTCAGAGATGTTTCTAAATGTAATTATCGTTTACATTTCCCGAAATCGGATTAAATGAATTATATCAACCGATTTTGCTGTGCTTTTCTTCCACAAGGACATAGCTCATACTTGAAACATACTCGTCTTTGTTGCTACGAACATTTTGAAACAGTAACTTTCATCTAACGATTCTATATTTTGTTTTACAGGATTCCGTAAGCGTGGGGAGAGCGAAAGACAGACACCTTCAGCTTTATCACAAAATTGCAGATGAACATGCCGCGATAGCCGCACAAAGACAAGCAGAACGATTAGTATACGAAGCTACTTCTGTGGTAAACGATGTAAATCCAGATCATGCCTATTAACGTTTATAAATCCTAACAAACATGCTGCTAAATTGTAAGGAAGCCACCACAAAGTCGAACGTTACAATAATTACTCCTTCAACGCGAGCCATATCTACCAAAATTTCAAATTGTCTACATCACTTCAAAAATTTAAGAAAAAACAGAATACCCATATGCTTAGTACCGGAGTTAATTTTGTATAAGGAATCGTTGCAGAAAACGAACAACGAAGCTCGCCAGTTTTTTAGTTATTTAACTTTATTATCTCTACAACTATGTACACTCTTACAACTAATGAATAATAAAGCAAAGGAGAATTTAAAAGATTGCTCAGAAGTGCTTTTATTCGACCAGTCACCGATAAGAGCAAATTTGAAATGCTCCGCAACAGTTAAATTTTGAGAATTGGGAGAATGTTGTGGCCACTTGTCAACACATTGCAAAACGCAAGTTGCATTTTAAAGGGAGATGATGCTATGGTTAGAATTAACAAGAGTGCGATGGAGAATCGTAGGAACATGTAAGTTTTACTGGAAAAGAGGGCCTTAGAGGTAAGACACTAATTAAAGGTTAATACATCGACATGTGTCTCGCAATATCCCAATCTTCGCGGTTCTGATTCCCGATCGTGTGTCAATGGGGATCATAGTACTTAATTACAGTAAAGAATTATGCGCGTTGAAACTTTTATGGTCTATTCCGTCCGTTATGTATACGTATCCCATAAGGAGTCTTTCTACTCTTGCCACCGTGAAAAATGGTAAATACATATGAATTTCTTTAACCCCAGAATGGACGGTGAAATGCCGTGGATGACAGTTCTCATCCATGCGAATTAAACTATTAACCGTCTCCTTTATAATGAAGGGTTAGATTACTGATTCTAAAGTCTGTTTTGTAAACAGCATTTTATAACTCAGTATAGCTATTTGTTTCGTGTGTTGCGGTTGAGCGATTTTATAACCTATGAAAACAGTTTGGAGGAGAATTCTCATTCACCCAACCTTACCTATTTGTATTTTTGTTCGAAGTATTTTATTTTTTACGTTTGTTTCCACGATTCTGCATGCGATCGAGTAAACACGATCTCCGTACAAAAATTCGCGCGAACCGTTGGTAGGTTGACGGCCGCCAGTCGCTCGCCGACCTTCCATGGTGAGAGCGTTTCACACGATTGTGGAGGAACCTTTTTTCTGCCCAACCCTCCACCTATGTTTTAAGACTTCCGTGACGATCGGCACATTCGATTGATGTCAGCGAGTCGCGTTTCGCGATAACCACCAACATCGAGAAAATGTACCGACAAATTCGCGTCGATGAGCGTGACGCAGAAACTCAGTTTATTCTGTGGTTTCAAGGAGTGCAAGTCGGCAGAGAGTGGTCCGGTTCTCAGTTCTTCCGCGCTCGATTCAAATTTCGGGCCGGGAGGGGCACGACGCAAAATGCGTCGTAACAATACATATTTGTTATATACAGGGTGGCCCACATAACTCTTATCAGCTCAATATCTTGAAAACTATGTCATCGATTTTTAAGTTCCTGGTCTTAAATTGCATGAATCTGAAGGGCCTTTCTAACTATATAAACGTGAAGTGCCCCCCTCTTCCCCTTTAAGGGGGGGGGGCGGGGGTACCTTCATAATTTTAAATGGAACCCCCTATAAAACGTTACATATTTAGATTCTACAGGAAAGAACAAGTAAATTTTGTCTGAAACATTTTTTTGTCAGATATTTCCATGATGAGATATAACAGTTTGAAGTTTCGACTTGTAGGTACTTACTCGAAGCGCTCGGAAATTGCGTTATTGAATTATACGCGCTTGAGTCCTTTGCTTACTCGCGATGAAATAAAATGTTCTTTAAATTAAATGTTCAAAATGTCCACCACGGGCTTGTAAACATTTATTTACTCGAAACATACCTAAACACCGCCGGTCAAATGACCGGTTTTAGATACGGTACAAATAGATATATAAAAGTTTCGGTACGGTTAGTGTTAAAGTTTCAAGTCAGGTTTACAACCGAATCAATGCAAATTTGTTATATAAAGTTATTCTTAGTATTACGGCTTCGTATAGCTTTGTGTATTTACTAATACAACCATAAATTGCATTAGGGCACAGTATTCATGACTTACACACCCCTAAAAAGGGATTCTACCACTTTATATCTGCTCCGAAACTTCCAAGACCGTATACTTTAAACGGGTGTGACTCCGCCAATTCTGGTCGGATCAACTTTAAACTTTCACACAATATTTCTAAAATGATGTACTGTAAGAAAATATTAAAACCCAAAAATCGTTTTTTTTTTCAAAATTTATAGGTAGGCATAATCCCTTAAAATATACTTGAAAACTTGTGATGTGTGGTGCTTTCCTTTTTTATAATATTATATGAAACCATCAATAAAAATACTGTACCGCACATCGCAAATCTGCAAGTATATTTTAAGCTATTTAAATGTTAAAACATTTTTAACATTTATTACCTATACATACTGCAACGAAATATTGAAGATCGTGAACAAAAAATTGGTTATCCTATGTTTCTAAGCGTTCACGTTACATGTACAGTAATGTCTTGATAAGTATGAGCCGGCTCGTCCACGATAAGTGTGAAGTCATCATCCCTACCACTGGGGAAGAGGGCCGTGGAACCAGTCAAGCGTATAATTTTTTTCCCGACGCGCCGCAGCAGCTTCCCTTTCACGAGGCGACGACTAAACGAGGGAAACAAATGCAACGATGAAACGTTTTGTTTTTAGTTCTTTGTTAACGAAACTTTTACGAACATATTCGTGAAATTTTTCTGATTAAAATGATACCAAACACGATATAATTTGGACCATATTTACTTATGATTTATCAGATGCGATAATGAAAAAATATAAACTATTAACACTTTCTACATGATTAAATAGGATCCAAATTATGTCGTATTTGGTATCATGTTAATCAGAAAAATCTCACCAATATAAGAGTAAAAGTTTCATTAACAACGAATCAAAAATAAAAAAGTTTCATCGTTGCATTAGCGTTGTATCACCGATACCCAGGAATGTAATATTTTCTTGATCTCCCCTCATTCAGCCGTCGCGTGAACTCGTCGAAAAAAGTCTCTATCTTCTCACCGACTGGCACGACAGACTCGACGGTCAGAGCGGGGAAATGTGGTAGTCGCCAACGAACCCTTCATTACCCCGATGGTTTTTCCATGTACTCAAAAACCCGACCGTTCGCCGAGACAGCTTTCACTCGGATTCCGAAGGACGCCATGATGTCTTTTTGCAATATCCCGATTTCCCACACAGCCCTTTTCCAAATACCTAATGTCGCCAAGATGTCTTCCCATGATATCCCTATTTCCTAGGTTATCCTTTTCTAAATTCCTTAAACTTAGCGTCCACCCCGTCCATACCGGAACCCCTTTAAATACTGGTTCCAAACAGGGGATGAGACAATCATTTTCCAAACTTCAGCAACATCACAACGTCACTCTGTCCAATTGTATTCATATTTGTAAATAATAGTTAAATAAAACGTATTAAAACCTGATTCTGAGTTACCTCGACGACACCGGCGAATGAAATTAGCTGGATCACCTCCAGTCACACGTATTTTTATTATTGGCCGAAACGGTACACACACAATTGGACTGTGTGGCAAAGAGAACGAACGAGACACATCGAGACCGAGTAAGATAACGCGAACTGCAGCGAGTACAATCTAACCATTGGCCGGTGGGAGCATCGCAGGCGGACTCACGCAGTCGAATCGAATGGAAAGAGATGCTTTCTCTTTTTGTTTTTTACTCGCTTGTCCTTTTCTATATTGGAACATTACAAACGCAAGCTGCCGAGACTCGAGCTTCGAGCAAAAAACTGATTGACGAGGTGCTGACAACTGGTCGCCTCCAGCGTGAATGTGACTTCGCAGAACCGAGGCATTCACACTTATCAAGACATTACTGTAGTATTCATAATCCCATAAAAGGTCATATAAAAATGTTCAATCAGACACTCCTACAGGTATAAATGACACCACTGAGATGGGTACGAGACCTGTCGATATTGTTTCCAAACCTCATTTAAGCAATATAGAGTTCAACTAGTACGATCAGCCGACCATAAATTATGAGATTATCATATAATTACAATTGTATTATAGTCGCTTGTGCGTATATTACGTGTACTTCCACCGCGTGTAATTCTTTGCGTAATACCTTACTATTCCAGCGATGGATTTGTGTCTATCAACAAAAAAGATAAGTTTACAATAATATTTATATTTTATTTTATAGTACCACACTTATGATTATAATTATATTTATCTAGTGTGAGTGCGACGGGTGTGAGTGTGCGTGTGCGTGTGCGCATGTGCGTGCGTGTGCTTACGGAGCAGTTAATTTGAAATCGCGCAATGCCAAGTAAAGACAAAAAAAGTAAACACTGTCATCGCGCGACAGTTGGCGAGGAGTGGAACGTGTGAGTGTGTATTTAAGGTCAACGGGCACCTGAGTTTAAAATCGGCAGCGATTTTGCGCTTGAAGAAAGGACAGTACGTTGTACGCTTTGAGACGAATTGGTATGCGAGAGACGTGTGTTACGGTTGTTGTTACGGTTTGCCTAGTGTTACCGTTTTGTTCTTTTACTTATATTATTTCAACATTTATATTATTCTTACTTTTATTTTTATTTGTATTATAATACAAATAAAACCTACATTTATATATTTATTTCCCTTTAGACATACATAAGCAAAAGATTATTCAGCATCGTGTATACATGGACCAACTGTAACTGTTTACGTTACGGCGAAACTTCTACTCAAAAGTTAGGAAGCGAAATTAAAGAATGATTAAACAAAAAAAAGATAAGTTCATAGCAATCTCAATATGTTATCTCATATTATTATTATACAAAAGCCAGGTAACATCGTATATGCGTGAACCAATTGCAACGATTGTTGAACACGCAAAAGATATCATTAACAAAAAAATCGAGTTTGGAAAATGCTTCACAAATTAATATTTTTTAACTTTTCATTTAACCAAGAGGTTACGCGTAAAGCCAACAAATAGTAAAAGATTAAAGATAGATTTATAACGTAACATTTTAATCTAATAGATTTTTGTATGAATGTTTTTATAATTATATCCTGCATTAGTTAAAATAACAGTAATATCTAACTGTAAGAATACTTTTGTTAATAACTGTTTAATAACTGTTGAATAATTATGTATATACAATAATACAAAATTGAAATATTCGAGGAGGAAATAATTCATCTCATTTGTTTAGTAAATGCCTCACAAATTAATATATTCCAAGATTTTATTTTACTGAGAGGTTACAAAGTGAAATTACAAAATAATTAAAAATAACAAAATAAAATCGTTGTACTGGGATTCGGAATAGGGTCTTCTGACTCCAGTTCAAGCGCTTAGATTGCCGGGCGTCGCGTCGAAAAAGGTTCGAACGGGCTTTCCTCATTGTTTACATTGCCGGGTGACGAAAGACCCGAACGGGCAGCGCACACAGCAGGGAGGTAAAGTGGAAGACGACGTTGGTGATAGCGGGTGACGACGGTAGGACATAGTGGGGGAAGCCTTTTTGTCCCACGTCCCACTATTCTGGCATAACTGATTATGGGTTATAGCCCGTCCCAGCATAGACATAAGTCTATGCGTCCCAGTTACTAGAAACATTCTGTATAGCTCTACTCCGAAAAAGTAAAAGCTGAGAATCTTGTATAACTTCACAATGTGTAGCAGAATAAACATATTATTGGATTTTAATGTGTTGTACTTACTTCTACGACTTTGAATCTGACAGTTGAATAAATAACTATTGTTAATGACTAACCTTTACATAATCAATTAAACTCTCAACTATTAAACTCCACACACTTCCGGTACAATTTTTTAAATGGCTTGTGTCGATGCTTTAAAAGGGTATGGAAAACCACTCTAAGAATCCCTGATTGCAAGAAATTTTAAAGGAATAGGGTAGGTTTTAATAAAGTAGTAGAGGTTCAACGATGCCTTCCTATTTCGACATCTTTTTTCATAATCTTAAATTGTTGTAAAAAGTACTAATACGTTGATTACATCAATATCCTCCAATATTAATAATGTATTAAACGGGTAACATTAAAATATTTTTATAAAATGCTAAAAATAAGTTTTCATCAGACAATGATACGCACAAAGGAATATTATGAATATACGCTACAATAGTACTAAAAACTGTCTACTGTAGTAACAATATAATAAAAAAATATACAAATTAATATGTTGCTCGTCGTTGCACTGTAAAAAGAATACTCTAAAAAATTTCTGTTGTAATAATAATTTACTAACAAAAATTAACAGTTATGCCAGTATTTATAAAAATACTCAGAACTTGAGTACAGCCATAATATAATAACGCATAAGCAAACGTTTAAAAATGTCCTACTATGATATAACAGTATCGTACTAAAAATACGAACAACGTTTATTTATAACAGTAATGACATATAAATTATTTCATCATTATCTTATCATTACAGTCGATATGCTGTTGTTAAAACATAAATATTTAAACAAACAATCTGTAACGCACAGGTCTATCGATCATCCTAAATGGATATTCATGCCCAAGAACAAATAAGAGAGAGTAGAACGGTTGACAGAGTCTAAAATTTAGACTCTAAATCATCGGTAAATATTCCGCTGATTATTATGAAGACAGAAAGAGAAGGAGAATCTTTCAAAGATAAACGAGGTTGTTCGGGAGCGAACTAGCAGCTGGAGACGCGTAGCGCAAGGTATCTATAAATGCGTGCGGGTGTGCATGATTTCCAGTCGGTGAGAGGTCAGCCTTTGGACGAGAACGATACGCGGTTGCGTATACAGGTCGCTTTTTTTCCCCTCCTTCGTCCTTTCTTTTCCCTTCTCTTCCTCTTCCTATCTTCTTGTTGTCCTCAAAACTCGTGCAGTGTTGCATCCGAAGTATGTTTAGTCAGTCTGATACTTTATACTTGCTGGTATTTATGTGTTTCGAGAGATAATTATTCTTTCTAATAAGGGACCAGTGCGGATATACGATAAAATTTGTCCGTTGAATAAGACGCTCATTACGTAACATCAACGAAAATTTGAGACGGTGGTATAATCTTTTGAAGTGTATCTTTCGGGATTGTTTGATTTGGAGGACTAATTTTTATAATAATACTCGATGAATCGTATATGATTACGTTATGAATCATAGTGTAATAATAAATGTGTCATATATTTACATAGTGATAATTAAATAAAATGCGAATAGAGTAACGCGACAGGAAACATAAAAATACAATGATGTTTTATGGTTTGTAATTTCGTGCAATGATTACTGAAATTTATAAGAGTGCATTTTTCAGAATTTCCGTAACTTTTATAGTGATATATAAATGATTAATTGTAAGTATATTTATTTATTTGTGTTAATCTTTTAAAAATATATACTGGATATTCATTCAAGAGAATTATTTTTCTGTGATGAAATTCTGAAAACTGTAGTTGAATAATCTACAATTTCTTAAGTAATAGAAAGTGCTCTTTAATACATGTAGTCTGAATACTGGCGCGTGGCACCATGCGTATTTAATGTTTCAAAATGAAAGTGAAATCTGCTATTCTCTGCACAACTCTTATAAATATTAAATTAAAATGTTGTTCTTATATAATAAAATTGTGATGAATACTGATGACAAAAACATAAAATATATTAAGAAGTTTATCTTAAGTTATTCTAAACGCTTTCGTATCATTCTCTCGGCTGTCGTAGATTGTATGTAGTTATACCTGTGGAAGAGAGTGCTTGGCTTTTAGACTGTACGAACACTATGTTTCTCGTTTATTTAATTTTAACTCGTCCGTGACTCGTTTCGCTTATTATTTCTTATCAGACATTTGATAAAATACAAAGAGTAAACAATGGCTGTTGGTGTTATTTTGAAGAAAACATAGTCAAATATTTCGACAAACATATTCAATTCGTTTAAGTAATCAAAGTAAGCAAATTGTGGTTTGGTGGGTCGAGTCTGAGTTCAGTATTTAAAGGATGTTATTAAAAAGTGGATTAAAGGTGTCGTACTTCAGGGATTAAACAGTGATGGACAGTATCTATTATGCCTTATTCTCTATATTTCTTGGTGGATAAACCGTACGATTCGTGTGGATCTGTTAACTGTTCGATTAGCGATGGGCTGAAATCACTGACCTGCTGATCACGTGCGATCGAGACGTCACAGACCCGTAAACACGCGGAGATTGCGCGTAACAAGCATGACTGACATTTCACTGGCTACAATCGAAGAATGTAAACGGAGGTCTGTGAGTCACTACTAGGTGCGCTACTTACATCTATACTATAAACAATTATAAGGAACATCAAGCTGCGTAATTCGAACAGCGTTCTCCATAAAGCAAACAAAATCTCCCTTTTGTTTACCAGCTGGCGACGTCGACCGGCCATCGATACGTTCGACCGATATCCGGTGCACAGTTACCATTCAGCGTTCGTATGGAACACATCAAACTATGATTAAACACCGTGAATAAAAAAAGAAGAATAAAGTTTCAAATTGTAAATCAAGCAGGATTCACATTTTTGTTCTTCAAGATGTGGAGTGTAGTGATGAAATTCTTGGAACAGTCGTTGCTGCTGGGACTATTCTTAGGAGTTTTCTACTACTTCTTCACTTCGACGTTTGATTTCTGGAAGAGCCGCGGCGTACCATTTCGAAAACCGACAGTGCTTTTTGGCAATTTTGCTCCTATGCTTCTGTTTCGGAAGTCTTTACCAGAAGGCATTAAGGAGATGTACGAATGGTTTAGGGACGAACGATTCTTTGGAGTGTTTCGAGTCAGATCGCCTGTCTTGATCTTACGAGATCCAGATTTGATCAGGAATATCTGCGTGAAGAATTTTTCCAGTTTTTCTAACCGCGGTATACCGGTGAATTCTCAGGTAATTTTCGTTTCCGTACGAATATTCATAATTGCCTCAACTTTCTAACAAGTATCAGTAATACACAAGTTTGTTCATATAAAAATAAACAAATTAGTCTCATGTCTATATATTGGAATAAAAAGAATGAATAATTGAAAACAATGGTAAATGTCAGAGAATAACAGTACTACAACTGTTTTTAAATTTAGTTATCAGATTGTTAGATTATGCTTAGTAATCTTATACTCTTAAGGATTTTATTGATGTTCTTCGCAATTTGCGCTGTATCTGGTACTAAAGTACAGTGTAATTCGCGTAAAAAGTCCTGTAACAGCACTATTAAACGTTTAGTATAAAATCCGAAAGACAACATAACCATGCTATCTTGTTTTACCTATAGAAATAAATATATTCATAAATGCATACATCACTATCCGATTACTTGCAACATTCGTAGTATACCCAAGAAAAGGAAAGGTAATATACTCTTAGAATTTTATTGATTGTTGCTTTACCATTTAATTTTATTTATATGAAATAATTATAAGTATATAAAAAATCCGATATTATAGATTTGCATTTTTCTTTTTCAAATACTTTTGAATGGTAGTTTATATCGCTGACATTTATTTTTGTACAGTTCAAGTCATCCGTATATAAAATGTTGAAAACAGTTCTTGATTTACAAGATCGCCAGTACTTAGTAAATTGAGCAAGCACTTCTTGTTACATGTAGATCAGTCAATCAGATCTTTCAGAGTTGATTCTGAATTTTGGTAACGCGAATAATTAGATTGCTTCCAGTTACAGTACACATGTCTATCATTTCATGGTTAAAGTAGTTAGCTGATTATTAAAAAATATTCCTCAAAGTGCGTAATCACCAAACTACGAATGATTATGTGAATTTAGATTGGTCAGTCTCTACTTCGTTAAAACAAATATTAAATAAAAATTTATTCTTCTGTGAAAGATATAGGAAGGCTAAACTTGAAATAAAAAGTGCAGTAATATTTATCAAAGTCAGTAAATTGCATTAAATTCACGAATCTTTATAAAAATCCAGACAAGAGAACGGCATGTTATCGAAATATACACGCTTCTGCGATTAATAGATTAAGATTTTTGTTTTATTATATTTTCCACATTCATGCATTCCACAAACGCATAAATTTTAGTGTTCAGTAATCGGTGTAATCACCGATCGCAGAAGAAGAAATAACTAATATTGATAAACTCAAATAAGATGATGAAATAAATATTCCAGTGAAGTGCGTGTAAGATTGAAAGAAATATGTGAAGAATTCAGTTTAGGAACACTATAATAATAAAATATTACAATATTCACAAAATCGAAAAATCATTCATCGGTAAATAGCTTGAAAATTTTTCTGAAATGGAAATATTTGGGTGACTCCACACCAAATCAATCACTTTTTGCACTCGATGTCAGGGATTTTATTCAAAATGAAATATGTTGAAGTCTATATGAAATAAGCGCGTGTTTGAGTCATCATTTTTCTGTTCCCGAATTTGTTTAAAAAATACAGACCCCCTAAGTTTACGATGTTTCACTATTTTCGTAAAATCGCGATGTACTTAAAAATTTATATCTCAGAAACTAGGGCTTGAAACGGTTCGAAAAATAACTGTTTCACACTGTTATATAAAGGTTCTGATTTAAAGAGTTATGAAGAACCTAAATTTCAAACTGTATCGGCTTCAATTACGGTTCTTATATCAGCCCCTGTATCAGTTTTACAACCGTTCTTTTTTAGGTTTTACATACGTTCTAAAACGGTTATAGAACAGATTCTCATAATAACAGAATTTTTCATATTACGCTTACAGATTACTGTACATATAAAGGCATATTTTTTGCCAAGTTAGTATGTTAAAATTTTGCTAAGTAGTTAAAAATGTATATTAACGAAGACTTACTTTTCATATTACAAAATGATTGCATATGTATAAATGTGTGCCTATATATTTACTTATTTATTCATAATAATTTTTTAAAAAATTTGCTCATACATAGTAATCTATAGCTAGAATATGTTATAATTTCATTTACTGTAGAATTCTGTACAATCGTTGCGATAATCGGTTTTATAACTGTTTTGGAACTTATATAGAACCTAAAAAATAACGGTAATAGAACTGATATGGCAGCTGATATAGGAACCGTAACTGAAACTGATATAGTCTGAAATTTAGGTTCTTCATAACTGAAGAACCTAAATCGATATAGTAACAGTTTTCAAGCCCTGTCGGAAACTATTCATCGTATCGAGTTCGTTTTTCGATTATTTTAAACTACAAAGATTCCCCTACCCTAATAATTTTTTGTTACATAAAAAATTAATATTTTCATACTTAGAATTATAAACAAATTCCGTTTTCGTGATTTTCTCTGCGATGCTAAAGGCGTGTTTAAATTTTTTTAAAAATATAGTCATATACCTTGAAATCGTAAAACTTTTAACAGAAATAAGATAGACAGGTGAATCTTTGTCGATGTGAAAGCTAAGATATTGCAGAATCGGAAAAAATTACAGAAAAAGTATCACACACATGTTTTGACCTTGGAAATCTATGTGAAACTTGAAGAAAATTGCGGTGTTTCCGTTATAATGTGTAGTTAAATTTTTTCTTGACTACTTATACATTATTTCCTATAAACTTTGACAACCTGAATTCAAATCTGCAGAATATGTCTACCCCTTTATGATTTTAAGACAAATGCAATTTAAGTGAAAAAGTCAATAAAAATCATGATTATTCTGATTTACATGCCTTGATAACACGTTGAGAATGAGCAGTTTGTTCCATTGCGCGCCGCAACGCGCTTACCCAAAAGAGTATACACCAGTCTCTTTTACAGCTCTTTGTAAGAGTAATTTTAATTGTTCCATCTTTCTGAAGGCTCACTTTGTAGGTAAAGGAATATGTTTATACTTTTAAAAAAAATTTTTAAATTTTCCCGTCACAGATAAAATCGCGAAAAAAGAATTTATTTGGAGTTTTCAGTATTAAAAAATTAATTTTTCATACAACAACAAAAATATTATAGTAGAGCAATCCTTCTAGATTAAATAGACGAAGAACGAACTCGATACGATAAATAGTTTCTGAGATATAAATTTGTATGTACATAGCAGTCTCCTGAAAATAGTAAACAATCGTAAACTTCTGGGGTCTGTATTTTATAAACAAATATAGAGAACAGAAAAATTATGATTTAACCACCCCTGCCCCCTACTTTCACGTGGAGTAGAACATATATCATTTTGAATGAAATCCCTACCATCGAGTACACATAAAAAGTGATCGATGTGGCGTGGAATGACACGTAACGTTTCCGTACGTTTTCCATGAAACGTATCTATCTTGTAAATCTTGGACGTCTACCCTCGACAATTTGTAACAAGTGCTGTTCAGAAAACTGCATCGAGTTTTCGGTGTATCCATTATAAAAATTGTATTTCGATAATTATTTTCAAAATTGCATATTAGACGTTATTATATTTATTTCCTTCACTAGGACCCATTATCTGCTCATCTGTTCAACCTAGAGGGGAAAAAATGGAAGAGTCTCAGATCGAAATTGACACCAGCCTTTTCCTCCGGCAAACTGAAAAGGATGTTCTATCTTTTAGCAGAGTGCAGCGAAGAATTTCGGAAATTAATCGATGCGTCTTCGAAAACCGATGAGTCAATCGAGGCTCGCGAATTAGCGGCGAAATTTACAATAGACGTCATCGGTAGCTGCGCGTTCGGCATACAAATGAACGCTCTAACCGATGAAGAATCCGAATTCCATAGGGCAGCGAAGAAACTCTCTAAGCCAAGTTACAAGGCCACACTGTGGAGGATGCTCAGAACAGCTATGCCAAAATTGTATAAACTTCTAGGTGTACAAGTGATCGATCCTGGGGTGACCAAATTCTTCAAAGACGTCGTGTCACAGATGATTAAACAGAGACAAGAGCACTCTGTCAAGAGATACGACTTCATGGATTTGTTGATCGAACTGAAGGAGAAGGGTACTCTGGAAAGTGATATCGGAAACGGGCAAACCTGCAACGAAGAGGACGCAGAGACAACTGAAGAAATAGGTGCGTTAATTACATTGTTCGACACATAAAAAAACTTCGTAACCTTTAATAGGCGTTTCTGATAATTCTTTATGAGCTGACTACGACCGTTTTTTTCCCAACGCGTACAGTTTTAAAGAAAAATTTCAAACGTTTTAAATATTTTCTTTTAATTGCAAAATTTCAACTTTGAAGACTTGTTGTACTTTCACACTAATAGCTATTCAGTTGCTTTTGACATGAAATAATTCTCTGGACTCTCCCGAAGAAAATGATATAAATTGTTATTACATTATAGTGAGACTCCATTCAACATATATAAACATATACAGACATACATAGACAAAGATATAGACTTAATAACTAGGAGTCTACATAATGTTCACGAATGTTAGTTCAGTTTCTCCCATCCATATTTTTGGCAGGGCCTGGCATTTTTTGTTTTCTTCATGAACAGGATGCATTCGGTTTTTTGGGGAGAGAACTTGAGGCCTGGCTTATTTGACCACTTCTGAAAGTGTTTAATGGAAGTTTGTAGGTGATTTTTTATAGAGTTTAGATTTTTTCAATTGCGTGTTATTGTAAGTTCGTCTGCGAATAAGAATGCTTTAACTGGAACTTTTATGTTATTTGCAATGTCGTTGATTCCGATGAGGAATAAGGTGACCCCCATGGCTGACCCTTGGAGAATCCGTTTTGTATTGTTGTAGCATTAGAAAATGTTACGTTTGTTTTAACTTGAATGGTTCTATTTGTTAGGAAGCTTACCTATTATAAAAGCTAGCATACATCCGTTGATGTTTAGTTCGAGAAGTGTTTTTATGAGTTTAAGTTTCCAGATCATGTCGTAGGCTCAATGTCCAAACATACTGCAACTAGGTTTCTACGTTGGTTAAGACATCTATAGTAGAGCGATATTGTCGAAAACCGTATTGAATTGGAGTTAGGAGATTGTTAGTTCCCAGGTACTATCGGAGTCTTCTATTTATAATTTTCTCTAATAGCTTGCACATGGCATTGGTTAGGGCCATGGTACTGTTCATTTACTATCTTTTTAGTCTTAAAGGTTCCAAAAGCTGAGTTTGCCGCTATTTTGATGATTGTTTCGATTGAGTCGGGGATGTTGTCTTCGTACAATATTTTGATGGGGAAGTGATTGCTGTCGTGTAGATTCTTTAGGGTTTCCCATTGTATGTGTTTAATTTTGGGCTGTCTGTTGTTAAGTTTATAGTACTCATTTTTCCGGTGCTTATATTGAAATGAGTTGGAGTTCCTGTATTTAAGAGTATTACATTTGCGTTTTCTAGTAGTTTTTCAATTTTCTTACCTCTGCTATCAGTTTTTGTTGATCCCCAGTGGGAGTGATGACTGTTGAAATCACCAGCTAGTATTAGCGGAGTTAGAATTTGATCTATTAGTTTTTCGAATTCTTTAAGTTCTAACCTGTAGCTATTTAGTATGGACGTTACAATTGCTATCGCTTCTAGATAGGTGTATAACGGGATTTTGGTAGAGTGAGAATTTAACTTGTTTGATATTGCTATAGCTACTCCTCCGCCAGCATGGTTTTCGTTTTACCTGTTTTTTTGCGGAAGTATTGTAGTGTTTTGGGGTAGAATGGTGGTTCTTTTAAAGTTTGTTTCTTGTAAGCACATGATGTCTTGATTGTGTAGTTTTTGAACGATTTGTAATTGTATCCATTTATGTTTTACTGAACTATTGTTTTCATAATAAGTTGTGTTTGTTAATTGATATGATGGGATATTTGGTTGGCCGGTGATGTGGTATCGGTATCACTTTCTGAAGCCCAGTTTCTCGTAAGGTCTTCCACAGTTGTTCCGAGGGCTAGTTATTTGCAGAACCCGTGGATCCTGTTGTTAATGCTTCGTCCTTCCAGGAGGGGGTACATTTTCTTGAGCATTTGCATGAGAGCGGGTATGTTGTCTGTAAACTCTTTAGCTATTTCAGTTGGGTGGCTTATTCCAAGAGAGTTTTTCAGGAAGCTTTTTAATTGTGTGTAATTTAGGACAAATTTGGAACTAGATAGTTCAATTTCCTTTTTGGCTGGTAATGGCATTTTCTTTGCTATTATTGTATTGCTCTTTTCTTCCGAGTGGCGGCCTTTTAAGGGGATTTATTGTTGCAGGTGGGGTGAAGTTGATGTCGTTTAGGCTTACGTAGTCTAGTTTGAAATCGATTGATGTTTGTGACAGTGGTTTTTTTGGTGGCGGTTTGATTTATCGGTACCTCCGTTGATAATGAGAGCGTACTCTGAAGCTGTCATTCCTACTTTTAGCAAGGATGTTTTGGAGCATAATCGGACGTTGTTTATTTCTTTTGAATATGTTATCGATCTCCGGATTTGGTATAACTGGGGAAACGTTCGAAAAGTTACTGCTTGGGTAATTATGGCTTGTTCTTTAGTAGGGCGTGTTTCGTATTTTGTTGCGTGAGCATATGATTTGTCGGAGACATTATTATTTCTGGTCAGGTTTTTTTTCCGTTATATTTGGAATCGAGATACCTCCGTAATCAGATGTCTCGGGTGTTTGGTGTTGTTAGTCTGTCTGTGAGTCCATTGTTGATGGCTTGGTTCCGTATACACATGTACGGAACCAGCACTGGTGTCGCTATCCTTTGCACTGGCACAGTCACTATATGTATATGTGGAAACTCCCAAGAGCTACTGTTATTTAGACGTCTGTACGATAGGCAGTTGAACCGCGACTGAATTTTGGATACTTAATTCGTTTAGCGTTTGGTAATTAAGAATGAAAATCATATTTCATTAAATGTCAAAAAAATGAATAATTTTTGAATAAAATTTCTGGTTTTTTACGAGAAATGATTTAGCCCGTATGAAAGTATCATTAAATTATAGGTTATGTACGTGGCCTCACCGCAATCAATTATAGCCTTAAAAATATTTTTCGTATATGTAATGCTGAACCTAAAATGGCCAATATAAAGATCATGCGAAACTGATAATCGCATGTATTTTCTGAATTTCCAGATATAGAAACCAAAAGTATGTACATAATGTCTATCAACAATAAGGGCCACAATACGATTTCATGTGTTTATCAAGAGTATTTCAGAAATTAATTTACCAAAAGTTACGTGACTCTAACTATAAAGTAATGTTCTAGAGCCTAGGTGAAATTTTCTGATAAAAAATGTAAATTGCCGTTTCCTATAATGGGAATGCTATTACCAGCTATAAAAATTCTGATCGAGTATTCTTTTTATACGGTGTGTTTCGGTATGGGAGTCCTTATGGAAAAATAAATCAAAAATATAAAATAATGATTTTTCTTGCGGTTTCATTTTCGAGAAGATTAAGTTTGAAAATTTTTCGCGTACGTGTGCACTTGGCCACTTGCCACGTTTGTGACCCAACGTATCGCACTATACTTAATGGTATTAGATTAGCTCAGTCCTATGTTTATGATCATGTACACATTAATTAATTATTATATCAACGGCACGAGTGTTAAATCGATGGTGTTGGAACGGTGATTTAACTTGAAAAATTATCGGACTCACTCCATTGGATTTTTTTGATGGGGTCGCATTAAAAAACTAATGCATGCTCAAGAGCATAGAAACCGTAAACAATTACGAAAAAGTACGCGCTAAAAATGGATCGGCATCAGTTCATGCTTGCATAATTCGACGAGCAACAATTTGTTACATCAATATGGATACAATTTCAACAATTCCTTGTCACAATATTGACATATAGTGCGATTGGTTAGATCGAAAGTATGGCAAATGTACACGAGAAATTTAAACTAATTTTCTCGAAAGCAAAACCACAAATAAAAAATCGTCATGCTATATTTTCGATTTATTGATTCACGAAGTATTCAATTTAAGCATACAATTTTTACATAGGTATATTAGGACATACGCATAAACAAGAATAGAGAGATAATCCATCCTGAGTTTAACTTTCCTAACGAGCTGTATCAATTTCAAGCTACTCAATTATATCAATGGAAGAACGTTACATAATTGATAACACTCCAGTTAATAAAAGTTGTTGGTAGCGCGCCTCGAGCAGCTATGGGGCGTAGCCATAAACAGTACAGTTCTGTTACAAATTAATCATGATAAAATTGACAGTAAGCACTTCATTCATGGCTGCCTCAAGATCCGCGCGGCTGGAACCATATCGTGCGTAGCATATTAACGAAACGAGCGATTAAGTTCACACACTGGAAACAGTACGGACTAGAAAAATTCAATATGAAAAAAAGGCTATCTTTGCAATAACATTATTCTATAAGCGATGTTATTTATAGAACTGGACGAGAACAGTATTGCCGCCCAAGCGTTTGTGTTTTTTGCCGCCGGTTATGAAACATCATCGAATACAATCGCGTTTTGCCTTCACGAGCTAGCATTAAATGCTGAAATTCAAGAAAAAACGAGGCGCGACATTCACGACGCCATTAACAGCAGAGGCAGCAAATTAACTTATGACGCCATCCAGGACATGAAATATCTTGACATCGTTATTGCAGGTAAAGGTTAACATTTATTTCATCTTCGATCTGCTGAAATTTTTATTTTATGAGAGTACCGTCAGAAGTCCCTTCCATCTTGAAAAAGTCACTGATCAAAACACTATTTGTTACAATTTTGTCTCTTCGAAACGAGTGCTTTTTTTTCCACACATTCTCTTTTACCAGTAAAAGTAATGGGGATGTTTTAGGTTCTAATTTCATTTTACTGTCATAATATGAAGGTTTAGTCCGAAATTTTTTAGAACAAAGTAATTGAAATTCATTTCAGAGACTTTGAGGAAGTATCCTCCGGCATCGCTCTTATCCCGCAGGTGCGAATCCCAGTATCAAATACCTGGTACAAAAGTTGAAATACCATCAGGTATGCGAGTAATAATACCAATCTATGGGCTTCATCATGATCCAGATTATTATCCGGATCCCGGAACATTTGATCCTGAAAGATTTACGGAAAAAAATAAGCGAACGAGACATCCCTATACGTATCTTCCATTTGGGGAAGGACCACGGAACTGCATAGGTAATGTATTTACTTAAATGTAATGTAAATTAATTGAATAAGTACATGAGTATCAGCTCTAAATAGTAAGATCGCAAGTTATTATATGATACTGTAGGTTAATAACTAAGAATCCTCACCTTTATATAGTTTTTTCCAAACGACATTAGGAAAACTGTACAATTTTCATTTATATTTCAAACGCACTAAAGCGTTTATAAATATTATGGCACTACATTTAATCGATTTGTCCATTTTTCACCTTGTACATTGAGAAATCTAATTTTTTGAAGTCATAATGTGAATATATAACAATATTTAATTATTATTTGTTTGTAAACATTGTAACATATATTATTTATTTATTGTTAAATTAATCACTGCGCATCGCTTATATTGGGTGGTTAGAAAAGTTTTTAGCGTTTTTAACGGCAGACTTGTAATCTGTATTTTTCCATTTACATCATATGCCTATTTATTATATACTTGTTTTACAATTTCTTTACATTTTACAATTAATTATACCAGCTATATACAGCTACGATTTTGTTGGCTAAAGAAACTGTTCAACCTGCTTCTAGATGCATTTTGTTATTAAAATTTCTTTTTATACAAAATATTCCAGCGATCTAAAGGAATAATCGTCTGGTAAGGCAAAGTATAAGTAATTGGATAGAAGCATCAGATTTTCCAGTCGAAGTAGTACAGGTTCCTTACGAGATTGATAGAATTTAATTAAAATGGGCTTTATGCTTGTTCGGTCGGTATTTCGCAGAGAAAACGAAAAAAAACATTAACATACGTGTATATATTGTGTTGGTCCATAACTTCGTGTGGTTTTCATTTCACATTGAATGTATCCTGTAATAATTGCCTATCAGCTATCTGTTGTACGTCATTCGATAGCCTTTATTTTTTTCTTTCATGCGACTGTGTATCTTTCCGTTCTGTGCGAATACTAAAGCGATTAATTGTTCAAAAACTGTATAGTGTCAAGTTAACAAAAATAAGATTTTCCATGTTTTACTCTACGAATTTAATCTGGCTAGATTTCGTATTGCACACAAACAACATCGCCCATTTTTGAGTCTGATTGTAACAGTTGATGAAAAATGGTGTCTTCACATCAACCTAAAGCCGTATATTTATCTGATGATTCGGTCTGGAAAGAGCACCGAACGAGCGCGTATGTAGTCATACGATGCTCGGGTGACGTTCTTTTTCTTGGATTACAGTCAGTGGGGATAAACTGTACCTGGGAGCTAATATTTTGCCGCCTTATCAGTAGAGCAATAAAATTAGTGAGTGTTGTAGTAGGGGAATATTTTCAAAAACCCAATGCATGAGAATAACTCGAAACCGAGAACATGATGACGAGAGAAAAGCTTTGGAACACGGGCTCGTGTTAAGAGAGTATCGAAGTGGGAGAAAGATACGACATGGCCGCAATAACGTGAAGTGGAATGGTAGAACCGGTGAAAGATTTAATTGTAATTTCGAGTTATGGTCTGTTTTTCGAAAGATGATGCCTGGAAGGTTGGCCTGCCTCGGCGCGTGGCCTGGCAAGGATCCAACGCGAACTACGTATTTCGTGCGACGTTGTGACGTCTCAATGCCACTGTGTGTCTCTTTCCATACTCCGGCACTTCTGCACGCGAGCCTCTCGCTCAGACGCTCGGTAAACCAACTTCCTTCTTTACCCTGCGATTTCCACGTGTAGCGTTTAATAACCTACGTATTAATTTAATCCACTTTTAATATGTTGCTCAATATTTGAGTACAATACATTCTTTCAAAAGAAATAAACTTTTTCTTATTCATGTACTTTAACTTTTGACGTGTGAAAACGTTCAGCGTCTCATCAACATTCTCCGCCATTTCCAGACAATGGATGATTGACGGGCGCGTGCCGAACGCAGTCCCCACTCCTTGAGATTGTAGGTAGGTCCTTCTCGAGACGTTTGTAATACGTGTGATGGAGACAGACGACCGTAGGCGAGGATTCACGTCGACGGTCGCACATCGTTGGCCAAGACGCGAAGAATAAGAGAGACACAAGTGCCTTAGGTGTCTCGCGATCGCGGCAACACCGCGAAAACTCGGACCCTCCCAGGCATCATCTTTCGAAAAACAGACCATAGGCATTGGGAAACCAGAGATTGGGACAAGCACGATGATCACGCTAGTGGGTCATCGACATAGGAAAACGAGTTTTCACCTTATAAGGTATTTGGTGCCATTCATATTGTCCGGTTCTATGGATCAGATAGATAGTATGGTTATCGACTTGGTACTTGGCGATTAAATCTTTTAAGTATGGGATGATGTGTTCGATTTCTAGTTCTTCGTGTAATTTACGTGTGGCATAGTCCATGGGACGGTCCGAAATAATTTTGAGTATTCTGTTTTGAGTAACTTTGACTTTTTTGATAGTAATTGGTACGGCAGCTGCCCATACATGCACATCGTATGTTAGTACGGAACAAAAGCAAACTTTATACAGAGTGAGGCATACTTTTTTTATTCAAACGAGAGGCGGTGCAGATGTGCGGGTGTAAGGCTCCGGCTGTCTTGCGAGTTTTACTTATGCGAACAAGCACTGCCGGCCCTCATATGAGGCGACGGTAGAACACTACACCCAGATATTTTACCTGGTTGGAACACGATATTGGTACCCCTTCGATAAACAGGGACGGAACGTCGAGGCTTATCGGTCTTCTGATAAACCCTGCGGCTAGCATCTTTGCTGGGTTTACCGACAATTTCCACTCCTGAAAGAATGAACATCTTAGTTTTTGTGGACGAAGTGCGAAGGAGCGTGTCGTCCGCGTATACCGCCAACTGGGAGTCAATAACACGAGGGACGTCATTTATGTAAATATTAAAGAAGTATGGACTGAAGATTGAACTCTGAGGAACACCTACCACGCCCTAAGAGGAGTCCGACCGATTTAGAGACATATACATTATTCTGTCGGAGAGATAAGAAAGCATGAGTTTAAAGAAGGTTTTGCTCAAACCGCTTTCAGGGAGTTTGAACAGGAGGCCCTTATGCCACACTGTATCGAAGACTTTTGAGAGATCAAGAAGCACTGCACCGGTATACATATCGTCCAACATTCATCTCGTGAGTGATGAGTTATAATACTCTAACTAACTGATTTGTTGTAGTGTGTTTCGAGCGAAAGCCAAATTGCTGCTCAATATTAATATTATGCCGATCGAGGTGTTATACAAGGTGTTTAAAAAGGCATCTCTCGAAGACCTTTTCCAGCAGTGGGAGAAGAATGACAGGACGATAGCGATCGATGCGATCTTTAGGCTTACCGGAATTTGGAATCGGTACTATTTGATGTTCCAAGCATTAGGGAAGTAAGACAAGGCGATACAATGCCCTTAAATGTAATAAATTTGTAGAATGACTTTGTTCGCGGCATGCTTCAGCATAAGGGCTGTGATATTATCGCGGCCGGGGGCCTTTTTATTCCTAAATTTGTGAATTACGTCAGCAATCACAACCGGTTCGATCACTATGTCCCGGTTCGGATAAACCAATTCGATGTTATTTAAGCGCGCGATATAGTCGGAGACTTTGCGGTCGTGTGGCGATTTTAATCGAAGTTCACTAGAATGCGCGGCGGCAAAGGGTTTCGCGAATGCGTTAACTTTGTCTCTGTCAGAAATTAGTTTATCCGTTCCCGGAGTATCGGAAGCTAATGCTGAAAAACCCGTCTTTTCGTTGGTCAGTATTTTGTAGTTTTGCCACAACGTTGGGTCCGTTTCGTTTAGGCATTTGAGTATGTCGTTCCACGTCTCTCGACGATCGCGGTAACTCGACGACTGATCTGCAAGATGTTTTCCGTTGTATCGCGGTAATATTTCACGGTAGTATGTTGGTATACTTTTCTCAGACCCCTCCTCAACCCGATAACCGAGTTGAGTTCAGGGTCGTCGACACAATTTGAAAAGGCCGCATTCTCCGTGAAGGAGAAGTCATGACAAAGTTCGAAGAGTGAAAAACACCCTCCGAGAGCCGCAGTATCACTGGACTGTGTTGAATAGTCGAATTATCGATAACCGTTCATTCGACACTGGAACGATGCTGTAAAAGGAAGAGATCAATGGTGGCTGAGCGGAACCTTGGTTCAACCCTACAAGTGAAGTTATTGGGGAAGATCAACTGATACGGATCGCAGATGGCGTGCTTGAGTAATACTTTAGCGTTGAAATCACCGTTGACAATGACCGGAGGTGGAAAACGAGCAATACGGTCGAGCGCGTGGAGAATGCATTTAAAACGTAATCGCCGGCACCGCGAAACGGACAGCAACGATTTTCATCCCCGAAATATGGTACACTGGCAGGACCTTAAAATCTAAATCCCGGTGTATTAGGATCGTGACTCCTACGCGGGCAGCGGAGAAGTTACGGTCCGCACGATATTCGCTGTAAACCGGGTTCGAAAACCTTAAATGCGGCTGGACCCACGTTTCCGTAATGAGCGCGATGATTATTTCGTGTCTCTGGAGGAGAGCAGACTGTTGTGTCACGCGTTGCGGTCGTTGCTTTATCAATAATTACGGGTCCTGGCTCTTTTAACGTGCTAAAACATGCCCTGTCTATTCTTACCGATGAAGTACGCAGTCTGGATAGGGAATGGGTGGGATAGGAAATCACTCTCGTTTTTTATAACAACGAAGATATATTCTAGATAATAAAATGAAAAATATAAATAAATCTTAACATATTAATGATGATAGGAATGAATAAGTTCATGCGTGCGGTCGGCTTGGTCGAATTTCGGGTCCTCGAAAAGGCGGAAGACTCGCTGACGCTCGGGGCCGTTGCATAAGGTCGCTGCACTGCAAGATACGTTATCACCGTCTCGGACGTTACATTTCGCATTACATTTACAAGACTCGCCTGTTAGGCTGCTCGTATTCACAAGGTTGCGTCACCGAAGATAGGAAAACGTCGCGGAAACCCGAAACCGTGCAGCTAAGTGCCGGTGTCACTCGGCTTGCCGCCATATGTAATGATAAGACGAAACCCCAGCGAGCGCGACTCCCAAAATAAAAAGCTTGTGCCGTTCTCCGTGTCCTTATATTGCTCTGATGACTGTACGAAGTCGTGTGAAGATTTCGTCAGTCCACTGGTGCAATGCACGACAAGGAATGTCGATTAAGCATTTTCCGTCCAATGATCCTCGCGATCGCCGTCGATCAGTGATCTCGTTGAGCGACCACATTTCTTGTCATCATTTCGCATTATGAAAAAATGTGCAATGACAGGAAGTTCGGAAACTAGCGGATATAACAAGACACCTCATTTCTTCTGCCGCGTACAGAGCGCGTATATGAACGGGTTCTATGTCCATAACGTCAAAGTCAGCGGCCAGTGCGCACAACTCTTCCGAGACGTCCGAGTAACGCGCAGATGACGTATTGAGAGGGAGAAATTGGGAAGACAACGAACACACGTCACACAGGCGACGCCACGTCCGATTCTTCGGCCACGCGGGTCGTTGGATGCGCCACGATGGCGGCCATCTTGGAACGCTTCGATGTTTTTCCCGCGGAAATAAATTTTTCAATAGACACGACTCGCGGATTTTATCTGATCAGGAACAGCGTCGTCCTGAGGCGGCGCTGGGACAGCGGAGACCGATGAAATATACACGGTGAATCGGCCGCTACTAGGGTCGAGAAGCAAGCCGCCTGCTTCGTCGTTTATCTGCCATAATCATAAGCGTGTCAACAATAGCTTACCCCTGCTGAGCAGCCTATGTGTGTGACAGAGACAGAGCGAGAATCGACACTGTTTCTGTCTCCGTCATACAGATAGACTGCTCAGCAGCAGTGATGCCAGAATCGTGGAACTTGGTACTCCCACTCATTGATGCCGGTATCGAGGTACTGTTTACCCCCACCACTCTCCCACTCCGACGTACCATCGTCTCCCACTATGACGTCCCGGTTACCCTCACTTTACGTCCACCGTGCTGGCATACACAAGCATATCCAAAAACTAAAAACTTCACACGCGTGTCAATAGAAGATTTTTTGGTGCTATTAAATTATATCGAGGGAAAAATTGCAATACATTTTACTGTCTTCAGATTTTCTGTCGTTGAGCGGTTAACCATTAACATCAACAACACACATTCAACCTTGCACCCGATATCGTGCTCACTTTGACATACCGACAACGAACGAAACGGATCGAGCAGCTCGCCGAATGCTCGTTTCGTACTCGGATCGCCGTCCGTATCAGCGCACGTTCGCTTCTTCGGCAGGTGTCCAACGCTCAGCCAGTGCTCATTCGGGACCGAATGATCAGATAAATACACTAATTAAAGCAAAGGAAAGAATGGGTCAACAAGGGAAAACATACAACACCACGTGAGAAATCTGATCTCCATCCTCGGAAAACAAAGTTGTGTATCTGGTGAGATATAGAGAGGATTATTCATTACGAGCTCCTCCCAAGGAATTCAAACGGTTATTGCACAGTTGTAGACTAAACAACTTCAACAACTACATATAACATACAACAAACACAGCCGAATCGGCGACAAATCCTGTAGCAGGCAAAAGCGGCCCTTCAAAATCGTGGATGAAAGTTCTCCACCATCCACCTTGCTCACCGGACCTTACTCCCGTGGACTACATTCCTTTTCGATCCCTCCAAAAAGTTTAAACGGAGTTTCGTTTAATAACGACGTGAATTTGCGAAAACGGCTAGAAGTTTGGTTTATACCAACAACCATGGAATTTTTTCAAACAATGAATCCAAAAACTACCGAAACGTTGGGAAGAAGTTGTAAATAATGGTGGAGAATAAATTCGTATATTAATTCGTAGATTAATTCGTATATTAGATATTTAAAAAAAAATGGAATTTTTCACTTTCGACAAAACCGCACAAACTTGTGGACCAACCCAATAGAACATACATTCAGCCCACACCTGGATAATAGTTATATACTTGTTCATCAGATCAGATGATTTTTCCTTCGACCAGTAAAAAGGTAACGAGAGATTCGACACTGCTGGAAACGCTACGAACTTTTCGAACAACCCGATACTTTTATGTTACTTACGTTTTTATTTTTGCTAATGTTCAATTATTATTTAATGTATGTTATCAATTTCAACCAAAAAATTTGACTTAACCCAGTAGTATATGTACATGTTTAGTTCTTAATTTGATAAATATTTAGAATAGAGGAGGTAGCTCCGACGAATTTGACCTTGACATATGTTGTCAAGGTTAACCTCCCGAATGACCTTGAGAACGTTTTAGCCGTCGTTCTGTATTTGTTAGAATGTTATTAACAAATAAGTTTCGCAATATAAAGGCGTATCTCTAACTTCATAATTTAAATTTGGCTTAGTATAAACACTATATTATTAGCATACCTGCTTCTTTAAGCGATTGCGTGAGCGGGGTGGAGCCCCCACCCCCTGCGCCCCGACTCCTGCACTTCCACCCTGGGAAAAATTTAGTTGTGTCAAGGTCAAAGTCATCGGAGCTGTCTCCCCTATTCTAAATAATTATCCTTAATTTTTTAATAAATTCATCATTTTTGCAGTTTCGTTTTAAATACTTTAATGTAACAATAGTTTGATTACATGTTCGGCAGAACAATTTAAAACATTTGTGAATGATAACATTCGTTAATTGATGTGATAACACGATTTGTTGATATGTACGTACATACAGGCTGTTCGAACATTATATATCACAGCTACCATACCGTCATTTTACACCGCTAGAGAGGTGGAGATCTGCAAAGGAAGTCACCGGAAAATTGACCTAGACCCTGAAATTCAGAGTCAAAGTTTTGTTATTGCATCGTATTCTACTCGTTTCTTGGGACCTCGACCGTTCACTTGGGAAACGATATTAAAGTTGCATTATCATTCGGAATCACTTTATTTGCAATGTGATTACATTTTTCAGTCAGATGCAGGGTAAATAGCATTTATTATTGCACGTAGAAACCCCGGAGCCACCATTATGTATCCCATATCTGCCTTCCTTTCTTCGACGCGCACGTCAGCTGCCCTATATACAAATAGTAAAGTCGTCATAACTACACGAAAAGGCCTCAATTAACTATAAATGCCATTTACCCTGCATCTGACTGAAAAATGTAAGCACATTGCAAATAAAGTGAATCTGAATACTAATGCAAAGTTGACATAATTTTCCAAGAGAACGTTACAGTTGCGACCCATAGTTCCTTTCAGACTTGTTATCCTCATGACGAGTAGAATATCATGCAATGAAAAATTTGTTGAACTTAAAATTCAAGATCAAGGTCAATCTTGCAGTATCCTTCTGACCTCAATCTCCACCAAACCGAAAGTGTAGAATCCGGCTATGGTAACGACGACATGTAATTTCTTGACACTCTGTGCATATCAGCGTTGGTGTATCGATCTACGAATAAAGTATGACATAATAATTCATTGCATCAGATGACATTATACCGATTAGGCTAATATATTTAAATGCTTGTCATGTTTCAGGAATTCGATTTGCTCTGCTGCAAATTAAAGTAGGAATAATTTCGTTTCTAAAAAACCATCGAGTGGAATTCTGTGAAAGGACAACTGTGCCAATAAAATTCAGTAGGCGAAGTCTTGTAACGAGGAGCGAAAAAGGGGTTTGGCTGAAAATCGTACGGACTTATTAAATCTGTGAATTTATACACTTCCCGCAGAACAAACACGATTTTAAATATAATAGCGTTTTATATATATATATATA